GATTGAGAAGATTAAACGAAATGTTAACATCTCGCGACATATGTCTTCTTTCGGTCTTGAGAGAATAGTTTACTGTAGTGGTGGTGATAGAATTGATGGAAGCATGAAGAACTAAAAATCAAACCACGAATTATTACGGATTTTTGTTAAATGCATCCGCTTCATTGTACATGCGTCCGTTTGCGTATTTTAAAAGTGTAAACGGGTCAGATGTTATCTCAACGATACAGACAAGCGATCAGATCAGATCACTTGATTCATAGCATGACCAATGATAGTCTTGTAAGATGAAGGTGATGGTGCAGGTCGTAGGGTTTGAATCGTATGAGCTAAATGCTTTTTCATGAAAATAGGTAATGAATCAAAGTGCTTACTCAACCGGCTTCAGTGATAGCGTTTCATTCTCGATTTGAACGTCACTGATAAAAGAAACACCAATTTTTGTTGTAATTTGTGCGGTAGAGTGTCTGTAAGCTGTGACACCGCGGGACTACTACAATACGTTGTGCTGAAGTCAGTCAAGGTAGTCCCTACTCCTAAGGATAATCAGTAGTCGCCTCGCAACTGGTCTTTTTATTTTCTCGGTTTCAAATCTTACGAATTGTGCTGGCTGGTTCAGAAAACTAAGATTTCCTTGGTCTTGTCTTCTTCACGAAATTGTTATTGTTATTACTCGAATAAAAGAAAAAACCGACAGTTATAAGGGGTTGTGTTGCACAAAGGGAGACCCATATAGACATCAAAGAAAATAAACAATCCAACAGTAGTGTTGGTTTTGTTGTCACTCTGTTGGATCCCATCGCGATATTCAGTTGTGCGAATATCTTGGCAATTGGATAGCAGTGAATGTATATTTGTCAGAATCAGTGAGAAACTGAGCGCTCGCATAGAGAAAAACTTGAAGTGTTATAATATTCTGCATATATTAAAGTAATCTGGATGTTAGAAAAGGGCAAAACAGATCGCGTGCAGAGTCCTTTGGTACCATGAAATGAAACTGAGGAAGAGAAGTGGCACAAACGTGTAAACAGGTTATCCGTGTACAACGGGGAAAAGATCACCGAACAGAGAGAGAGATGGAGCAGGTGATAGATAAAAAACGGTGTGCAAATAGACTTCCAGTTTAACATCATCATCATTATTGTACAGCGTAATACAGTGAAGTGAATTTCACTCATCGCTGCCAAATTCACAGTGCACACAAGGTAAGTGAGAATTTGTAATGAGGATAGGGAATGGACTTAATTTTAGGGACGGGAAAAGAAAGCGAACCGCTTTGGTCAACAAACAGACAGTACACAGTTTTACGGTGCATACACACTATTCCAAGCACTCTGGGCTGATAACAGGTGACAGCAAGAATACCGTTGCTGTCGGTTCGCAGTCATGATCTTCAGTGTCTCTAACCGTGCGGTTACGGACTATTTTGGACCCCATCCCGGAAGACGAGAGACGTCTACTCTACCTAATCGGGTTCCACGTGAACTAAGGTAAATGAGACTGATCACTGTAGCCTATAGTGATAACACAAGCAACGAAAATCCGGATGAAGGCAAAAGCCTTCGATAGATGAGCTATTCACGGGGGCTCAGTTATCTCCAGGCCGACGAATTGGAAACTAGATCCCGTAAACAGAAATTCACTTGTTTTGATAATATGCGCTAATGCGGAACGGTGGAGCATACTACGGGCTTCATTGTGGTTTCAACAAACGTTTCGACCAAAACCAGCACGAGCCACTCTTGTCCAATGATGAAATTTGATAACTGAAGGACTAGCTCTTTAAATTGTGTGTCGTGTTTCCACACTCGACTGAAAAATATGTTCATCACCTATGAACGTTCTATGTTTATCCCGGCGCACATTTGATTCGAGGAGACCGATAGGGGTGGGGTGGGGGTGAAGGCGTAGCAAAAGTAATCAGTATCGCACAGCGCGAAATACACACCGAAATACGTGGTTCGCGCATGCTTGACAGGGCCATGAGGGTCAGAGCAAAGGCAAATCAGGCACGTCTGAGCGAGTAAATTTGGTGATTCGCGGAGAGCAGACACACCACACACCTGGGGGTTAGTTTTTATTGCACACGCTTACCTATACGAATAATAAACAGAAACGTTCCATTTTCAAGAAATCCAGCAGGAATATGCAACCTAGAGGAGTAGAGAGCATTGACTGGCTCGTATAATAAGGCACACGCGGCGACAAATACCACTGAAAGTAACGATCGTCGCACTACTCACAATTAATGGCGTGTTAAATGTGATTCCATTCGGAAGAGAGAATAAGGCTAGTCAAATATTATCTTAGTTTTATTTTTGGCTAATCCTTCTTCAGGTGAAACTCATAAAGGCTGACTCGTAATAATCTGTAACCTAAATCTTGCCACTTGAGGTGGAGAGCCGTCTGAGATTCTAATCGGATAAGCACTGAAAATTGAACTGGACAACGGTGAAGAAGGATTCTAACCTTGAACCTTAAGAATGAAAAGACGTTAGAGACAGCGAGTCAAACTGATTGACCGCTGCCATATGGTTGATAATGATTACTTGAGTGAAATAAGCAATGCGATTTCCATTCATATAGATCGACCCACGGGTTTGAGGTTTAAACCCTGCTAATATGACCTGACTTTGTTCGTGGATTGTTGCACTTGAGATGAGATGAGCTCTAGGTGATTCCAGGTAACCGGATTTCGTAAATGCACAGTAGTCCTCGGGACTGATCGAGTAGAGGTTTTCGATCATTAGTATTTGCGTGGTTTGGATCAGGTGGGTTTAAGCGAGCGGGCAAGTAACCCCAAAGGAAACTGTGATATGTTTTGGAATATCTCCGCCAAAAATTCATCATCAAATCGAATCCCAATGAGCAGGCTTCCGCGGTTAGAGCACGTACCGTACAAGCTTAACTATCATTGGTGCACCGCACTGTGTTTGCACGTGCCGCTTATCTTTGGAGAAAAACCCGTAGAAGTGAACAGATGACATTGTGGCGAGGCAAAAAGATTATACCCATAGTGATTAGATACAGTATGTATCATCCAAACGGGGGTGCAAACGTCTGGATGGCAATATGTGAACACTGCAGTGTATGGTGTTCAATCGAGTTTGTGTATACCCGTTTGTTAAGACAGATTATTCTAGCATCATCTATGACAGACGGCGTAGTGCAAATTAGAATTACATTCATACAAGAGGCTAAATATACGAAGATACTTGTAGGGTGCCAATTTTTGACGCAGGTTATTCTATTACAGATAATCCTATACGACGCGATTAGACAGGTTTGCATTACATACTTTAAACAACAACTCAGTGCTTTTAAAAACACATTTCTAACGAATGATTGCTCTCAGACACGCAGTTTTTTCTGTGCAAAACGAATACCATAATCCCACCCCGGATATGCAGTCTACCGGCAATGCACATCATAAACACAACATACCCAAGTTTCAAATACTGGTCCACCAGGGAGGGAGTCAACATGGATCGATCAAACCATGCGGAAGTCGCCTGATTTTCGGAACATCGAAGTGTGATAAAATTATCGATACGCGATTGAGCACGTGAATGTTGATATTTCGCTTGACGGAGAAAGGTCAAATAAAATCGATCATCTGTAAAAGACAACAAGGGGATGGGAGTGAAAAACGGTTCTTCTCATGATTCAATCCTAGACGTCTAACTAGACGCAAGCGTTTCAACTGAATCATAGCGAATTAAGCCGATAAACTAACTGAAAAGAACATTTCATAATGCTCACAAATGTATATAAATGGCCCTGAGTGAAGTTCAATTGAGCTGTAAGTTCAAAAGACCTTGGGCGAGGTTTTCTTCCTTTCCTCATCAGGGAATAGAGACTTAACAGTATGCTGCTTACTTTCGTTTATTTAGTATACAAGGATTGTACAGTTTACTGACGTATAATTTTCAGGGATCGAAATTCGAATCGCTCTTTCTCTTTTTGACAACCCGAAGTTTGGACAGTCACCGAACTCTATGGTAAATAAATTCACCATAATTCCGTGAGCGAGATTTGCCAGAATGCTACTAGGAATCAGCATCTTATGATGCTTTTCCTCACTTCTTCCGAGCATCATTTAGGAGGGCTGGAAATTTCACACTGCATAAACTCCCGAATCCAAACTGTGCCAACGAAGTGCGTTGCGAAAATTAGCTAGGATTCGGCTAGCGTTCACCAATCAAATAGCCAGAGTGTGTCCAGATTTCCTCCACTAACCACTACCAAAAGGTCGCATAGTTCCCAACGATAATAATGTATTAAACCGAGTGAACGACAAAAATCAACACCATGATTTTCACAAGTTAATCCACGTCCGAATCCATCGAACAAAAAACAGCAAATCTCTTGCAGAAGGATTTAGCTTGACCGAACTCTCTAAATAATCTCAATCATGATGACTCGAAATATTTATCCCTGAACTACTCCCACCAACCAGTTAAATTGGAGGCAACAGAGAAAAAGAGGGAGCCGAATTTCGTTACCTCACACGGGAATTTGAATTAGCCAGCACGAGATTACATTTCGTAGGTAAATAAGCAGGCTTTGCACGGCAATCTCGTCCATATAAACCAAACCTCGTGACAAGATTATCGTTGCGCTGAGTGTTATTGCATAGTTGCTAACCTGAATCCTAAATCATTCTAGAATGCCCATACAGATAGAGAGGGGTCAAAAGAATTACCCAGCAAACAATCCGTATTTGCTTGACACAAAAATCACATATGGCTTCATGCTAATCTATTTTTTACAGTATTTTCTGTTATTACTTCAAAGTTCTCACATGTCTTGATACGTTGCCCGTGTGGTTACGGACAACCATTGCACTAAACATTCATTCATCATGGACACTAACAGTATATGTCCGTTTATTTCAAAGAGCTTGACACCGGCTGTACACGTGCAACTTGTGATGGACAGAGCCATGATGCCTCCTCCTCCATTCTGCGTTGCTCGGTGATTTGCATTCAGGGTATCAAAAGGATAATATCTCTCACGTTGGTGTCCGGAGTGGAACTGAGATTTGTTTCACGTGGCTAAGTCGCTGAGTGACTGCAATCACAGAAATCGTGCATTGTTCTAAACGTGAACATTTTTACTGATGCTCTTCGAATCTTGGCAACTACTGTAGTCTATCTCTGGATAAGTAATACGCCCTAGGGATTGTATATTTCTTTTAATATGGGTGGCCCGAAGTGTATTTCACTTGCCAAGCCAATTTTGAACTCATCTTTACTGCCTCCTGCAAAACCACCGTAACAGAGAAGGGGTCGTACAATTTGTTGATGCCGATAACGGGAGTCACTTCGCTGCGAAGAAACAGGCTGATTGGTTCAGGTCGATGGAATGTCATGTTCTGTCTTTGTCTGCAATAAATTGATGGAGTTGAAAACCACAGGACCAGTGTATCACATTACTTTACGAGTCTTAGACTTCAACATATTATCCTTAAAAACCCTTGTGAAATCCCCATTACCTCCCCAGCCAATCAACTTACCATGTGACAGTTGGGCGTCACCTCAATCCATGCCTATGCATAATTATTTGCATTATTTTAGTTCTTTGTATCAATCGCGACGCTCTGCGTGTTTCAAAAGTGACAAGAATAAGATGGTAAATTAAATAGTATCAAGCTACTCTCAATCAGTCACTTGCTTAAGATATAAAAAAAATGGAAAAAATTCAACTCAGCTTGTGAATATGCATTACAATTACACAATAAAGCAACCTTCTTGAGACATGGTGAGACATAACCGATGATAATCTTCATCTTCTCAGAGGAAAAATCATTGTTGTTAAGATATGGGTTGTGCTTATGCCTAGTAATCAACCTCTGCACCCACCCTGTTTGCAACTGCTAGGTTAGGAAGAAGGAAGTCACGGAGATGGCCTCATTTTATTTTTAGAATAACGGTCATCTTTATTCAACCCTCAATTCTGACACTTTGGCATTGTTGGGGGCTGGATAGCTACAACTATTCACTATTCATGGATTGAAGGGGTCAGGTGTGAAACGATGCTTTTATTCAAAAACCACAAAAGAGGGGACATGTATTTGAAAAAAGTAAGACAACACAAGTCGTTGTCGAGAAAAAAGGACGGATGATTCGAATGAACAGCTGATCGTTCTACAGGCATGGATGTTCTGGTGTTGATATGTTAGAGAGAGAGAGCAAAGGACTTCGATTCAGAGAAAGAAAAGGAGATTTTAACTCTACTTCCAACGATTCTCCCGGGTCAATAGTACATAAAAGAAAACATTCCGGAGAATATAGGATACTAGAAGTTCACGAGCTGAACGCGACCAAAGACTGCTGTGGGTCAAGGATAGGACGTCTGATGAGTTGGTTCGCTACGAACAGTGTTTCAATGAACACGAGGTTGCATCATTTTTTTCATCAGACACACGATCTCTCAGCGACAAAATTCTATAACTATCCGCGAAAAGCACTGGGGTCTACTCTAAACCAACCCGCCACCACTGGCTGAGAAAATCGCGATCAGCACACTATCCTGCAATCAGCACGTGACTATGCAAGAGATCCAATCAAATAGTAAATGAAAAATGCCGCGTGACGCCAAGGGTAACGTCTTTCACTTTGGTTTTGCAATCCACACGCACGATGTCAATTTTTCTAACCTAAGTGCACGTCCTTTGACGGTTAAAACGTGAAATCAATAAACATAAACTATGGAATCACAAGGCAAGGTTACAATAATGGAACTCAATAAAAAATAAATCTAATGACAGAATGTATCGCACCGTATCGGTTATCGTAATGATGAAATCCGAAAGTTGAATGTGTAGCGAACTTTTACCTTGGGGACATTTCAAGTGTGGCATTCCTGCGATGCATCGTTTCAAGCTTTGGATGTGAGCCGCAACATGTTCTGGTTCTTCATGCAGCTCTTTACGGGCTTTATCGATGTACAGTTTTGAAAGCACCATTTGCGGATCGGCGGCCATTGCTAGGAAATTATCAACACCAGTGGATCAGCAATAACAACGAAATCAGTATTGGTTCAGAGCAGATACGATTTGCCACACCTTGCACCACAGTGAAGGCAACCAGACCTAAAACCAAACAAAATGCTTATGCTGTAAAAACATTTGATCAATCGGGTTGCACGGGGCTCTGCCAAGTAGTGCAGCTTCACTTCCAGGATGTAATTTTGTTTTAAATCAGAAGGATTCTGAATGAAGCAGTCGTTTCATCAAGATCGAAATAAAAAACGGCGTCGGGCATGTTAAAATTTTGTTCAGCCTTCTTACTGGATGGCACACGAAATTTTCACATCCCATGACGGTTTTATTCCTGCTTTGATTTTTAAGACGAAAAGAGCGCGTTCACGGTGAGCTGCGTTGTATAAAGTGTGCTTAGATCAATCATAGGAAAAGAAACATAGTTTAATCGATGTAATGGGAAGCTATCTATACACCACGGTGAATTGTGGTGAGCGAGGAGTGTTCGTTCCATCACACAAAGCAACGGTGGGTCCACTGATGGAGTACTGTGCTCGTTTTAGGTAACCGCACTAGCGCAGGGATGGGGAAAACCTGGAAACGATGCGATGACTGGCAACTACAATGGTTTCCGGGCAGATGGAAGAAATATACTCATAGCCTCATTGACCTCAATTTCTTATCGATGTGACTGAGGGGAAAAGTGGTGGCTTAAAATAGACGTTTTCCCGGGGACTGTCGAGAACAGAGGTAAACTGATTGTGTCTGCTCCGATGAGTAGTATGTTAGGTCACAACTTAAAGCTGCAAGAAAGACACTGAAGAAATGAATATTGAAGTAGAATGTGCGAGAGCGTCGTCATACCGATAAGATAGTTGTACAAAGGCTGTAGTCTTCGGATCTATGCACGAAATGAGTAAACCTCAAGTTAGGTTATTGAAGAAGGGGCGGCGTAGATGGATATCACTGGCTTTTCAAAAGAAAAAAACAAAAGCAGAGGCCAAGGAAACTTGCCGAAGACAACGATCCGGACAAACAGTTGAAATGAATAACTGCGGTCCTAAGAAAATTGAAGTGAATTTATTTGGAGAACTGGGCGATGATAACCAATATTATCAAACTGTGAAGGTGTAAAATGACTATATAGAAGGAAGAGGATTATTATTTGCACTGACCACACACACTACCCCATTCAATAAACCTTATAGTTCAACTCGCTTTAACGATATCAACTAATTAGGTTTTTAGCGTTAAATTCAGGGAGTGCATTCCACTGTGAGCCCCATCTCAACCGCACAGCTGGCGCCCTCAGGAGAGAGAGAATTGGACCACGGCTCCGGCAAGTGATTATCTAGCGTGCTCTAGAAGTTTTCCTCTTCATCCCTTTAGATGACAGCGGACTTCCTGATTTAGTCCTAATTAGTTATCATTCCCGTAAGACGACAGATCAAAGGCGCAAAAAAGATTCTGGTTTCTTGAGCATTGGAGGATGGCCCTTATTTTGAATAGCTCATCACGGGAAGATCTCCATCCGTAGCTCTAGACTTGCCTCATCAGATGACGCACCGATTATACATGAACTCTCACAGAAACTTCCTATAGGCTTCGAAAACCATCTTGTCATAACCAACAGATACCTCACTAGCTTCACTAACTCCGTAGGCATCCACCGGCAAATTGCAGTTTCACCAAACTTCAGGTGTGGGCGTGCAAGCGTAGTAAACAGCACACAGAAGGCATCAAGGGGTCAGTCCCGTGAACAATCATCAAATCGCATTGAGTGCCCCAGGCTGAGGCACACACTGTCACCGTGAGCTTAAACCGAAAAAAGTCGTTTACGAAAACTCGGAGAGAACCCCGGTGAGTCAGATCATCGTGCGGGAGCGTTCAAGTCCACTCTAACCTAGTCCTATTCGTTTTCCTTCGCGATTACTCGCTTCCGGTTTAAGATAACCTGCGTAGACCAAACATTGAAGATGTGAAAGAAAATCGAAATACAGCAGAAACAACACGGGCCAAGCCTTGTGGCAGTCTACGGCTAGCCCTATGCTAAATGGAGTGAAAGTTGGCGACGTTAACTGAGATGGACCTCCTCATCATGAAGTTTTGAATCCGTGGCAGAGCATGTTTGAGACTCGGAAGATTTCAGCATTATACTAATTCTGCTGTGCTTGATGTTATCGATGTTACCGTGAATTATCCGTGCGCTATCTCCTGTGACAACTGGTTGTGAGCCAAGAGTAGAACAGACAGGAACGACCCCAACAGAAGCCATATTGCAGGTCATTGGAAATTTTACGATTATCCAGATGGCTCGCTAGCTGGGCCAAAACTAACCGTTCCTTGATCTTTCTGACAACGAGGGTGAGGGCGACCGATTGATGATTGGCCCCGTGCACTATGCTTTCACCTCTGGATAAGATTAACGTGATGTTTTGGTTAAGCAAGTTTACAATCGCACAGTAAAGTGGCAATTCATCTATCTGTAGCGCGAACATGGGGTAGCAGTGATCAAACAAAAACACCAGCAGTTAGCAAAACCGAATCAATGACCAAGCGCAAGGGTTACATAATATACGAATGTGGTCAAGTATCGGTTAGAGTGCATAGTTTAACGATAAAATCTAATTGGTTGAAGCGAATAGATCCTGGTGTGAGTCAAATCAATGTGATGTACCGGCGTGGTCGTGTACACGTGACCAACTCAGTCGGTCGAATTACGTACTCCTATTCAGCTCTTCTATTTATAGGACAGTTTGCCATTTTAAAACGATGTGTTGAAGAGCCTAGTCAGTTATCTTTTTCAATACTATTGTGTGTCTTCTATGGTGACTAGTATGGCTAGACAAACGCCACCTCCTCCACGAAGAATCGCACGTGCATTGAGGGCACAGACTGTCGTTGGCGAGACGGGTGATCTACGAGACAATAGAATAATGTTTGCCATACAAGCTATAGACAACTTCATGGTCACGACGGTTGTTGACCCCGCTTTCATGACCAATGATTACGGAGATAACTTTAGAGGCTTGCACTGAGTAATCCGTGTCCGTAATCAAGAGAACACCGATTTCGAGAAGATAGACAACTTGTTCAATAAGGAGCATGGTTTGAGGAGGATGACAGTAAAGTTCAGTATAGAAAATTTGCCTCAAGCGAAAACTATCGGGTGCAGAATTTGTCGTGCATTTTTATCAGACGGGGCTGTAGACGGTTACAGCATTTGCTCACACAGGACTAGTTTCATCAGAACCGAAACAACCGGCTTTTGTTGACCGATTTTAACACTTTCTCGTCTAGAGGAAGAAATAAATCAGTTTGAAAATAGTTGGGGGTGCGGATGACTATACTACATTGTGTGGAACAAAGTATTAAACTGACAATAAAGTTCGCAGTTTGATTTAAGGATTCGTGGTAACGCAGTTTAAGTAGCTTTTCCTTTTTTGAACCGCTTGGCGGTCGAGGTACCCAGGTATGGTATGTGCTTTGCACCTTTCCATTACCTGTTCTGATTGGCAATGTGTAATGCCCATATTGATGCATGCTTAAAGTTTGCCGACAATATCCTATCTGATTGCACCCATCCTCTACATACTGACTTTTGTGCATGCAAATCCCACCCCTGCACCCGTTCCAAGTACAAACTTATCCCGTCTCGCATATCCGCATACACAAACTTTTTGGTACCCTATCTTGCCCGGATACTGACCGACAAGGAAAGTGTTCGCTCTGACCTTTCTAATGCATTTGGTAATTAACTCATACCTTTGTACGTTTTCCCCCTATTTTTACCAGAATTGTGACGGTGGTCTATTTTTTGGCTGAAAGCTTGTATATATAACTCGCTAAAGCTCGAATACAATACAATACCTTCCAAGTGCGAAATGCTGGTTCAAGACTGGCAGCAGCCTGTGCCTGCACTCACCCTCTGTGGTGATCAGCTAGAAGTATTTGAGAACTTCAAGTACCTCGGGAGCT